CCATCCCTAGCAGTACGCACACACACAGAGACACACATACAAATGTACACACATGCACAGATACATACACATGCACATGCAGGTACAATATTGTATTATCCTTATAGTTTTAGAAACTTATCCTTTATGCTAGATCCTTGCCCCAGTTTCACTGCTCCTCTAGCGTGTTCTGCCTCCAGTGTTTGTTTCAAAATCTTGCTTATAGGTTTTCTGAAATACTTATTGTCGTGTGGGTGCTGGCTGGCTGCACTAGGTGAAAGAGCCTGCAGCCGTCCAGGAGTGTGGGATTTCCAAGTTCCACACACTCCAGTCTGTCTTCAGGAGGTCTAGCCTTAGGCATTTCTTTACTTTATAAGCTGAGATGTTTTTGTTTTGTTTTTCTTTCTTTTTCTTTTCTTTGAAAGATTCTTCAAGGGGCTGGTGACATGGCCCAGTGGTAGAGGACTTGCCTCAAAACCCGTAAGACCCTGGTTCAATCCCCAGTGTTAATCCCCCCCACAAGAAACAGGTTAAGTAAAGAAATACAAAATTTATTTAATAAATTTAATTAATTCAGGGCTGGAGAGATGGCTCAGAGGTTAAGAACATTGCCTGCTCTTCCAAAGGTCCTGAGTTCAATTCCCAGCAACCACATGGTGGCTCACAGCCATCTGTAATGGGGTCTGGTGCCCTCTTCTGGCCTGCGGGTATACACACAGACAGAATATTGTATACATAATAAATAAATATTTTTAAAAAAATTTAATTAATTCAATATTTTATAAAATAATACTTCTGTGTAGTATTGTAATTTGTTGTATGCAATCATTACAAGGCCAGCATTGATGTGAGATTTCCCTCAGTATGCTGTGATTACCATTGATTAATAAAGAAAACTGCTTTGGACCTATAGCAGGGCAGAACTTAGTTAGGCATGGAAAGCTAGGCTGGGAGAAAGAAGGGCGGAGTCAGAGAAACCATGGTGCCCTGCTGGAGACAGACACCAAAACTTTAGCTGGTAAACCACAGCCATGTGGTGATACACAGATTAAAGAAATGGGTTAAATTAATATGTAAGAGTTAGCCAATAAGAAGCTAGAGCTAATAGGCCAAGCAGTTATTTAATTAATACGGTTTCTGTGGGATTATTTTGGTTGTGGGCAGCGGGAACCAACAAGCAGCCTCTCCTCCTACTCAGCATCCCATGTGCACACCATCTCTTAGTATCTGCTTGAACCAGAGTGTTTTGGGTATCAGATTCTCTTATATTTTAGAATATTACACAGACACACACACATGCACACAGAGATAAATGAGTCGCTGTGGTGAAAGAGCCCAGCTCTAAACATAGAATTTACTTCAGTTTCATATATGCCTTTATACATGTAGCCCGGAGGTGATTTCATTTACCGCTTTTCAGTGGTCCTGCATTTGAATCATGCATGAGGTTCCGCGTGGGACTTTCCACTGGTGTCATAATAAGCACTTAAAACATGGATTTTGCAGTATTTGAGATTTCTTTTTTTCAAATTGAGATGTTCAGCCTGCAATAAAGTTTTTAAAAGTTATTTTAAAATTGTTGAGCGACTGCTTTTCTAATACTACTTAATTGCTATTTTTACTTGATAATGGGTTTTCTTTATGTGTGCGGGGTGGGGGAGGGGAGTGCTGAGCATGCGTACATGCATGCAGAGGTCTAAGGAAGACCTCAGGTACCCTGCTGTGTGCTCTCTACCTTATTCCTTTAAGACAAGGTCTCTCTCCCCCTACAGGATTGGGTTACAGGTGCTAAGGTTTTGAACACTTATCTTCATGTTTGCCCAGCAAGTACTCCTCCCGCTGAGCGATCTTCACAGCCCAGCATCTCTTTATTTAATAACCAAAGTCCTCTGTAAGGTACCAGTCCCTGCAGTGCTGAGTCCATCATATGAACGAATGCGCACCATAGTGCGGATAGCTAACGAAGCAAAACAGCAAGCCATCCTGGTTCTAAATCAGTAAATGTGTTGAGCTTTGACTTTGATTCACTAATTTTTGAGTGGATAAATGAGTTAATGTTCTTATTTAAATTTATGTCTGGATTTTAGAACACTATTTCCAGAACTAAACATGTGTCTAATTATAATACTCTGTGTTGGCAGGAAAAGCTGACCTGGCTTGGCATACGCAGAAATTAAAACTGTGCTAGAGAGGAACAGTGTGTGGTGCTTTATTTACGTTTGGGAGGTGTTTGCAGCTTCAAAGCTTTGCACTGTTGTGGGCTGTCTCAGCAGGGAGGCTGAGACTCCTTTTTGAGGCTGCTTTTGCGGCTGTGGATATCACATTGCTTTGTTGTGAAAACACAAGGAGACCCTAAGTGCACCTTCCTGTGGCTGCACGGATTCAGTTTCACTGTGGGACAGAAGGTGTTTTAGGCACAACAGATGCCCCAGTCAGAGCTTGTGAGCTGCCATCTCTTCTCCAGCATCGGCCTGTGTCCCGTGTGTCGCCTCCCCCAAGGCTAGGGAAAGAAGCTGACTTACAGGACACTTGTGGCTTTGTTGGAAGTCTGTAGGTGTGGCTCCCTTTCCCTGGTACCGTGGGTGCCGCTCTCTGCAGGTTCAGCACATGAATTAAATTCCATGTTCTTCCTCTCTTCTCTTTCTCTGAAAAGTATTAGGAGTTAAATTTTAAGTCAAGAAATACTTGTGGTCCAAACAACAGTGGAGTGCTCAGTTAAAGAAACTGAACTTTCACAGTCAAATTACATCCGCCCGTTATTGCTATGTAACTCAATTCAAAATAGAAACGCAAAAGCATAGGCCAAGCAGTGCTTTCCACAGCACAGCAAGGTGGAGAGTTACTCTGAGCCCTGGTCACTGGTGAGACAGCCCTAGGAAGAGGGGGCTGCACTGTGTAAAGTGTGTGGGTGGAGTCCAGCAGCCTGCATTTCTCCCTTCCAGTTTCTTCATAGAACACAGGGTTTCCACAACTCATGCATGTTGTGTGTAATCGTTTCTTTCTGTTGAATATTACTCCTTTTTATGGGAATACCCCAATTCATCTCATTAAGGTTGGTTGATTGAGTTGTTTTTACTTTGCAGCCATCACAAGTGAAACAACCCCTGACTTTAATTCTAGCCCAGCCTGGCCCTGAGCGCCCGCGTGCACCTAGGTTTTTATTCCCTCATGTAAATACCTAGGAGCGGATTAGCTGGATTACAGGTTGATCGTGTGTTTAACTGTTGAGAAGTTGATAAACGTCTCTGCTTCACAGACGTAGAGTGGAGAAGTTTTGTCACCTTGCACCAGTGGTGGGGTCACAGTGTGGGACTAATGTAGATTTTCCTAGTAACAGGATATAGGGCATTTTTCATGAGCTTATGTAGCCTCTTGTATTCCTTGGTAAAATATCTATTCAATCTTTTGCCTATTGAATGTGGGGGTGTTAAATCTCACTGAATTCTTTCTATGTTCTGTAATTAAGCTCTTTACGTGTTTACCTTTCGTCTTCATAAAAGGGATAGGTGTGTCTGTGTGTGTGTGTGTGTCTGTGTGTGTGTGTGTCTGTGTGTGTCTGTGTATGTGTGGGGTGTCTATGTGTGTGTGTGTGTGTGTGTGTGTGTGTGTGTGTATGTGTGGGGTGTCTGTGTGTGTGTGTCTGTGTCTGTGCATGTGTGTGTGGGGTGGGTGTGTGTGTGTGTATGTGTGTGCGCACACGTCTTTGTGTGTGTGTATGTTCCTGGGCATCAGATCCAGACACCACACGTGCTAGAAGCTGTCAGCCATGGTGGTGGTAGAGTGGGCTGAGAGCGGACCAGGTTAGTCAGGACAGATAGCAGATACCGCTGTCATATCACATTGGAAATTTTGCATTATCTTTCTGCACTCAGTATCATAGTTTAGGTATTTTTACATCATTAAAATTATTGGATTCAGTTTGGGTGGATATTGCACTGGATGTGTAAATCAGAATGAATTATATAAACAAAACCTCAGGAAACAACATAATTCATAGATCCTTATGACAACTAAGGTATTTCATCCAGAAAGATTGATAGGTGTAGTGTTCCTTGGTTAAATGTACTCATGGAGTCTGGGGAGCCTTAGTGGCTAGGAGCATGTGCTGCTCCTCCAGAAGACTGGAGTTGGGGTAACCCCAGTACCAGGGGATCTGGAGTCCTCCTGTGTCCCACCCAACCCTGGGGTATCCATGTGGCACTTGCATGTTAAAAATAAATCTGAAAACAGTTTGGATGTGTTCTTGGTGTCACTACCACGAGTAAGTAGTTGGACGTATATGGAGAGTTATACGAAGTTTAAATAAACTGACTTTCTGGGAAGCATTTGCTACTATTTGATTTCTTAAAAAACTATAGCATTTTAAAATATTCAGCCTACCCAGATTTATATAAAACTTAGTCTTTTGTTTTGTATTGTTTCTGTTGTTTGAGACAGAGTTTCTCTGTGTAGCAGCTCTAAACTGTCCTGGGACTTGCTCTGTAGACTAGGCAGGCATTGAACTCACAATGATCCCCCTGCCTCTGCCTCCTGACGACTGGGATAGAGGTCTGCACCACCACCACCACCCAAACTTAGTCTTAATGTTGCCCATACCTGGAGTTGGTATTGTACTATAGTATGGTCATTGTTTACAGTGTTTCCCCTTCTGTATCTCACATAGGTTTAAATATGCTGAGCCCCAGAGGGAATATGATGGTGTTTTTAGTTAATAGTCTCAATAATGTTGTTTGGAAATTATTAATGGGGCTCAGTATTAGCTTCTTGGTAGAGCACTCCGCTAACCAAGTGCAGGTCCCAGGAGTCTATCCTCAGCAATGCAAAAACAAAATTCCCTAAGCTGACCTGCCCCTTTAAGTAACAAAAAAAAGTCACCAAGAGCTTGGTGACCTCATATACTTGGTGTTTGTGGATGTTTCCGTTATTAGAATAGCTTCTTAGGTGACTTTTGAATGGTAAGTCTCACTGCGTGGTCTGCTGCCGTGTTCTAATGCTTGGCTGTCGCCCCACCCTGTCCACAGGTGAAGGTGTTGCGGAATCAGCTGGTCCTTTTCCACAGTGCTGTCGCTGCCTACTTTGCGGGGAATCAGAAGCAGCTCGAACTGACCCTTAAGCAGTTCCACATCAAGTTGAAAACCCCTGGAGTGGACGCCCCGTCCTGGCTTGAAGAGCAGTAAACTCACCCGGAAAGGAGCGAGCAGGGTGTTGTTAAACAACTAATAAACCTAGTCAGAATTAAGTAGTGTTGGGGACGCGGTGAGGGAACACCATTGCAGTGACTCTTGCACAGATAGCTTTTATTTTTCCCTTTTCATACCCTAACAATTGAGCTGTTAAATCTGAACAGAAGGTAGGTGATTTTTATGTAAACATGATTACATAATTTCTATAATTCTAAACACAATAATTTTCCTTTTTGAGAAATCCTTTTTGTATTGTAAAGGTTGGTGGCTATTTCTATAATTTGAAATATTTAATATAGATTTGCACTGATAAGATAAAAATTCAAGGCTTTTGGTCCTAGAAACAAGGACCAGCTATAATTTTTCAAAGGAAGTTTACATGATTTGTATCAATGTCAGATATTTTATATATGAATATATCCAACATCTTTAAGAAGTTCATGTTTGTGTATTAAAGAAAGAAAGCTATTTTGCAGAGTAAGTTATATGGCGTCCTGCAGTGTCCGCAGAAGGGACCGCTCGAATGAAAGATTGATTGGCTCATAGGTTGTGATAGATACCTTTTAAAAATTAATCTGTACCACTGTAACTTTGGTTAGATATTTTTAAAGACCTGGAATCACACTGTCATAATTTCTATGACGTGTTTTAACTTATGAATTTGACAGTTATGTCAGTAATTTTGATTTATAATGAAACCTGCTTAAGGGAGGTGGATTTTTTTATTTTGTTTTCTATATGTGGACATAGGAATGGAAACTCTTAGTGGTTTCTAGAGTAGTGATTTGTAAATTAGAAAGCTAGTTTGGGGGTAAATTCCGTTTTGATAGGAGAGAATTTCCAGACCATGTTCCTTGACTTCCATGTGTGACTACCAGTTAAGCCTTAAATCACAGATACGTGCCTTCTCAGACGCAGTAATCTTGTCCGGCCATTGTGCAGAAACCGTGGAGAAACCCTCCAGAGAGCATGTGATTGTCTGTTCTCCAAAGACAAGCACAGTAGGTGCTGGGGTTCTTGGTCCTCATGGAACCACACTTGAGGTGTGGTTGGTGAAACCGACTTTGGAATCTTTGGTTGGGTTTCTCTTCACTCCTTCTTCAGAATGGGACTAGTGGGGAGTTTTTCCCGCCTGGGTAGTGCAGAGGCCGTAGGAAGGGAGGCCAGCACTGTCAGTCCTACGTACGCAGTCGGCCTGTCCACTGTGGGGGTTTCCTCAGTGAGGTAATCTTGTTTAAATGTAAAGTTCCTTTGATTTTGTCATACATATAAATGAGTATTTGGAGAGCTATCACTTTATCTGTTCATTTCTATTGTGTTGAAATGAAGTACTTAAAATGACTGTTATATGTGAGCTTTGTAGCCTGTACAATGTGTTATACGTGTCCAGATGCCTTTTCGCTGGCTTTTTTATTAATGTCTGTTTGGAGTGCTTAATACAGTATAATGTGATTGTAAGTCATGAACCTATTTTAAATCATTCCCTCCTGTATATTTGTACTCTGAAAGAGCCTTATTTTATTCTTCAAGCAGAGTAGCTACTTGTGATGGTTATTCACACTCCCCAGAGCGTGCCTCTGGTGTGAATTTTGTATTCTTATTAAAGTTTCTGCTGCATTATCTTATTACCCTGATCTCATAAATTTTAAATAGAAGTAACTATTTGGAGCTTCAGAGAATATACCTTTTCTTTCCTGATCTTCAAAGAGAAATGGTGCTTCTTTTACCTAATTTGTCGTGGTCTATAAATCCTTCTTCTCAGTCTGCATGTCTCTGGAGCTGAACATGTCCAGTCTCACCACAGTTTCAACAACTGTAGCAAAATTAGACTGATGGATTAATGATTTTTTTTTCAGGAAAGCTAAAAATAACAGTGATTTCTGAGTAGTGGGCACGTGTGCAAAAGAAGTAAGTGTAGCCTAGGACCTGTTTCTAGAAGAGAACACAGGCCCTCGGAATGCATACACACTTTAAAGATGGTTCTGTTTGGCTGGTTCACTTTCCAGAGTGAATGTGCCCACTTCCGCCCCTGGGAGCACATGTGGGAACTGAGCACATGTGGAATCGAGCACACGTGGAACCAAGCATGTTTTCTAAGCAGCATGTAGAAAGCGAAGTGATCTGGAATCAGCGGGAGTCACTTTGCGGGTGTTACAGTTGGAAAGGGAGCTGCTGTCTAGAAAACAGATTGAGGAGTTTCGGTGCATGGTTCCTCGGGACAGTGAGGGATGGCTTTTCTCACATTCAAATGGAAATATTCAAGGAAAACATGCACTGAAGGAAATGGTTTGCCAAACTCTGCTGCAAGCTAGCTAGCCAACGAGCTTCTGCTCTATTCTTTTGTCTCCGCTTCCCGTCTCAGGCTGAGTGCCAAGGTTGCCGGTGCACGTTGTCCTGGGCCTGTGCAGCCGGTGCTTCGCCACTGTGCCACCTTCCAGCCCCTGTTCTCTTAAACAGAATCTAAGACGGACCTCAAACCTGCAGAAGCAATGTGGCTAAGATCTGTGAGGTTCCGTTCCCCCCTCATGGGAAAACCATATTGTGCAGCTGTCTGTCCTTCCTCCCTCCCTCTCTTCGTTCCTTCCTTTTGTAACAAAACTAACATTTATTCATGGCAAGAATTCCATCCAATTTCTTACTGAAGCCTCTTCGCCTTTCCTCCGTCATCGTGCGCTGTCTGCCCCCCTCACCTTCTCGCCATGTCTTCTCACAAGGCTTTAAGAATCAAGCAATTCTTGGCCAAGAAACAAAAGCAAAATCGTCCTATTCCTCAGTGGATTCGGATGAAAACTGGCAACAAAATAAGGTACAACTCCAAGAGAAGACACTGGAGAAAAACGAAGCTGGGTCTGTAAGGAGTCAACAATGGCGAGACAGTCTACGCTGAATCGTGGTCCTGGATGAGTGATAAGATGGAGTTCAACATTTTCAACATGATCATGTTTAAGTTGGGAGTGGGTTCTCCAGTAATAAAATGTAGAGCCTTTCAAAAAAAAAAATTCTTACTGAAAATCTGCAGATGAATTTATAATAATGTCAGATTTAGAGCTTTATTTTTACATTGTACATAATAAAAGATGTGTGTCTTTAGCAGTGCTGTTCTGCATCAGCGCAAGTCGGTGTATACGGTGCAGTACTGTCAAGAAAAAGAAATAAAGGCCACACTGAGAGCAAATGAAGAAGTAAAACATTATCTGCTCCAGACGCACCATTGTCTGCCTAGGGAATCCCACAGAAAGCCCCAGACCCTCCTGAGCCAGATAAGGAGCTCTGCTGTCCTGCAGGGTACCGTGTTCTCCATCTCATACGTTCATTTCACATTAGTTCAGAAGTTGCCCAAGGCATTCCTAACCACTGTTAGAATGTTATGGGAGAGGTTATTAAACAGAAAACGCCAACAACTTTCACTAAATTCTCTGTTCTCACTTGAAGGTTTCCTGCTCCGCAGGTTTTCTTGAACAAATTGTTCTTCGTGATGAACTGTCAGGTGGTCCTCCCAGATGTCCCAGAAGCCAAGGCGGCTCGTCGGGGTTACGTGCAATCAGGAAGAGTTCTGTTACCCTGCCGATAGCCTGGATATGGAAAGAGGCGGCTGGCCACGCAGGGAGAGGAAATTAGGCCCAGTCCGAGAGTCCTAACACCATTGCTGTCAGAGCCGGGAAGTGGGGTGACAGATGGGACGCTGTCCACAGAAACTACAAGCACCTCAAATTTCTAGTTGGCCCCAAACATGCTTTTCAGGAAACAGTCTTCTGTTAAAGACTTGAGCTTAAACTCATTCAAACGACCTTTCTACAGCTGTGGTTCAGCCAGGAATTATTGAGTCACAAGAAAGGTCTAAAAAGAGTTAGATACCATTTAGGGGTCTGCGAAGATGCTGTCAGTAAAGCACTCTGTGCACGCATGAGGTCCCGGGTTCAAATCCTCAGCTCCCACATACAAGCCTGGCATGTAGCCGTGTGTCTGTAACATCAGTGCTGGGGGAATGGAGACAGGGAGGTCACAGGAGCTTGCTGGTCTAGGTGACTTAGTGAGTTCCAGGTTCAGGAAAAGAACCTCTCAAAGGCTTATGTGGGGATTTACCAAGGAAGACGTCAGACATCCATGTCTACCACACTCACACACACACACACACACACACACAGAGTTCAGAACTAATTTGCTGCTTTTAAGGCTGACTTTCTGTGGCAGACTTACAGCTCCACTTCTGTCATGGTGTGCACACGTGCTTTTATAAATCATGTCAGAGTGAAATGTGGGCCTAGACAGTGTAGACAGAAACAGACATGTAAGCCCTGTCATGTTCTCTTGGAGCTCTGGTGTCTGAAGTGGCCACCGAAGGAACTAAAGGCTCACTGTGGGGGCAAAAACCAAAAAAAGAAAAAGCCAAACAAAAGCCTCTTCACTTGTTTCGTGTAGGGTCAGCATGCAGTGAGATAGGGAAAGGGGCAAATGGTCCGGTTGGGCTTCCTAAAAAAAGATCTGAAATAGTGAAGTTTTTGGAATAAGGAATAAAATAAGAGAAATTATATATGCTACTCACTTAAATTTTCTTGTGCATTGACTTATTTTTGTGCATGAACGCATCTGCACCCCAGCATGCGTAGAAGGCAGCGGACAGCTTGCAGGAGCCAGTTCCACCTTCCATCATGTGGTTCCCAGGGATCCAACTCAAGCCACTAGGCTTGGCAGCAAATGCTCTCACCTGCCGAGCCCTCTAGACGGCTCACTTCTCCACATTCATCCTCCCTCTAATGACTTCTGACTCTACGTTAGGAAGCTCCCTATGAAAAAAGTACCTAGAGCTTGGGACGGGTAATTATTACTTTCCTGGAGCAATATGTACTTACTACGGCTAGACACTGACCTCCTGAGGATGGCGTGCATACACGCAGTTTTGTTTACCTTGTGGTTGGTTTGCAGTCCACAGTTTGAAAAAGACAAACAGCTGAATAAAATGGGAGAAGAGCTGAAGACGTCAAGTGTGTTTGGAGCTGGGAGAGGTTTCGCATTGGGTTTTTAGCTCTGCCGCTGTAGGGGATAATGCTTTAGGAGATGTGTGCCCACCAGGTTTTCTTTGAAAGGACTAGCTGTAGCACGCAGGGGCATAACCATATGTGGGAGAAAGGGGGGGAAAGGTTCCTTTTTTTTTTTTTTTTAAATCTTGGTGTTTTGAGACAGAGTCTCGCTAGGTATCCCTGCCTGGCCTTGAACTCAGGAGATCACCTACACCTGCCTTCTGAGTGCTGGATTGAATGATATGCACACCCATGTGTGGCAGGAAAAAGTTTCTTAAATGTGGCAAAATGCTACTGGAGAGACAGGTAGGATATATATGTACTTTAACAGTACCAGTTAACTTTTCTTAAAATTTTCATCATCATAATTCATTTTTAAATGTCGGTTTGATTTAGAAATGCAGTAGGATTCTTCCAAGTCTTCCTTCTCCCACTGTGGTGGCAATGAGCTTTATTTATTTTTTAATATAGTCCATGAGACTCCTTGCTTCATGCATAAAGATTCTAAAATCCGCACCGCCCACTGCAGCCTGTGAAGAGTGGATCCGACAGCAGCATCACCCAAAGGCACAGAATTCCCTACGCAAGGTATTTCCCCCTCGTTTCTCCTCAGCTCAGCTCTAACCAGCTATTTGAAAGTTCGGGGGAATTAGGCTCAAAACAAAACTAACTTTATTTTAGCTTAATTAGGATGATTCCTTCTGTCTCAGTTTTGTGTTCTTTGCTCGAGAGCAAGCACGTAGTATAGTACTTTTCTACACTAACGTTCTAGTTACTTAAAATTTAGCTATGATAATTTGCTTAAAACTTACTTTCCAACTAAAAGGGTATTTTTTTAAGGTAGCCAGATTTTATCTAATTCACACTAATAAACTAATAAAACAGCCTAACTCTATAAAAATAATCCTACATGTGTGCATTCTCATGGTATCCTCTTCCTCCACCCCATCCACACGCGCACACACACACACACACGCACACACCGGCTAAGCCTGGGAACATGCTCCAGATCCAAATGTCCTAGCTGGCTCCTACTTGTAAGTAGAGCCACAGAAGCCCAGGCAGTGTTTGAGCACAGAGGTCTAACCATGGCAATGGTTACCATAGAACCCGTGCCTGTCACGGGCGCAGTAAGTGGCTGAGCTTAAACAGTCAGGAGTATTTGCTGACCTTCATCCCCTGACCCCACTAACACCCTGATGAGGACTCGAAGATTCCTGAATTGGATGCCAGCCAGCTCTCCTGGGAGGACAGACTCTCATTCATTGTTTAGGTTTCCTGTGCAGGGGGTCTTAAAAAATAAAAATAAAAAACAGTCCAAGGGTCTGGTAGTATAACTTGGTGACGTTGCGTGACTCCAGAACAGGCTCACCACCACCATCACCTAAATGCCTTACCCCCCAAAAGATCAGCTCTCTTCAGGACGTTTAGTTAACACTCTGCTAAGCCAGCTGTAAGATGAGAGAAATGAGTTAGAAATTGCACATGAACACCTAATAATATGACCAAAGAAAGCAAGCCCTGGCGCACTGAGATGCTGCCTGCCCTCACAAGGGGAGGCAGAGGGCAGCATTAGCGCCTCGCAGCGGGCTCTGGTCCTAACTTGCCCCTTTGTCCTCTTAAAACAAAACCACAGTGACATAATAGGAGGCTTTTGTGCTGCGTTGGGGTTTTCAAGACTTCAGAGTCACTAGTAGTGCCCACGAGCAGAGCAGTGAAAGCAGGTCTTTTTGTCCCCTCAACACAAGCCGTTTTAGTCCAGGCCACTTCAGACTTCCTTACTGCTGACCTCCTCGGCGACCCTGGGTTATCCCAGGAAGAACTCTGCCCAGTTGGGTCTTTGAGCTCATTTTTTTACTGTGACTTTCTGCTCAGTGGTAGTGAATTGGGTTCACCCGACTAAGGAAGCATTGATGATGATTAATTTGCTGACATTTCATTACTACAATATTTTCCTCCTAGGTTGTCCTCTTTGCAGTCTCCCACGGGGTTTGTGGAAGCAGTTTAGCACCGAGCTGTGAAGAGCCAGACAGCTGTCTTCCCAAGGGCACACTTGGTCTCCCTTCAATTGAAGTCGGGGGTCCTCTCCTCTCTTGGGTATAACTTTAAAACGGCAGATGGTCCACGTGAAATGCCCTGGTCCTTGGTCCTCTCTGCTATGGTTTTCTTGAATTCCACCTGGGAAAAAAAAAAAATGTCTCCATTGCTCTCCTCACGTTCTGTGAGAGAGGAGGGGGGCGGGGGGAGAGAGACAGCACCAGTGTTGTTTCTCGGTCCACCGTGGGCTGCCGGCTTTGGGTCGAGCACCAGCATGTCTTCTGAAGCGTTAACCAGCCTGTGCAAGCCTACATTCATTCAGAACACCATAAAATATTATGATGCCTGCCTGTTGCCTTCATGTTTTTATATCCTGCTTCAAAGAGCCTGCATCTATCAGATGGTTGCCTCCGTGCTGTCGAGGCCCGTGGAAGACAGGAACTGGTGTGAGCATTTGTAGCTTTCCCCGTGGCTTGCCGTGTCAAAACACAGCATCCTCGGTAAAAAGGATTCTTATTCCTGGGCCTCTGGCCTTGAGCAGCTGAAGGCCCTCTGTGTCGTTGGGTGGTCACAGGGAGCAGAAAGAGAAAGATCAGTGTGGAGAACATACTGTTTGTGATCAAATAATAGGGAGGCAGTTAGCTAACCCGCCACCAATCCCCGGTACCGTGGATGCCGGGGGGGGGGGGTATTTTGCTATTAGCAGTGTGATCTGTGCACACAGTCCCATCCATGCTGTCCCACTAAACCTTACATCAGTCAATCTTGGAGCACAGTATTCTCTTTGTCGGCTTTCAGGCTTAACACCTCCCCCCCCCCACAGTCAATCCAATAGATAATGCTTGCAGGGTTGCTCTCTTTTTATCCAGTGTAGTTGTCACCAGCAGATTCCGGCTAGGGAGCTCTCAGGAACAAAGCAGACAGGCACTTCTTCCCAGTGTTTCCAGGTTCTTATCATCAGAGAAGGAACGCAGAAGCAAGACCAGGCAAAAATATTGGTCCATTTATTACAGAGTGTAGGTACACACAAGAGGGAGAGTGGGCTTCTGGGAGAGTCACCCTCTTCCTGGGAATTTAGA